GGTCTGAAGACCACAGGAGTTCCCCCGGGCGCGGAAGGCTGCCTGGATTAGGTGGTGCTGGCAGATGCGGGCTTAGGGTGGAAAGCTGGAGCAGGACACCGCAGGTAGGTGGGGAAACCGAGACCAGACTCCTGTGGCCAGTGGAGAAGAGGATTAGAAAAGGATGTCAGCCTTTGAATATCAGCTGAAAAGAGTTTATCCGAAAGGCTAGTGGTTTTTGTTGTCTTTATTTTTATTTTTTAATATTTTTGGGTTTGAGACTCATGAAATCTGTTCATGCCTCCTCCCAAAACACACTAATGCGCATACAACAGAATTTTTTTTTTTTTTTTTTTTTTTGAGCCGGAATCGCACTCTGTCGCCCAGGCTGGAGTGCCGTGGCGCAACCTCTGCCTCCCAGGTTCAAGCGATTCTCCTGCCTCCGCCTCCACAGTAGCTGGGATTACAGGCGTGAGCCACCACGTCCAGCTCGTTTTTGTATTTTCAGTAGAAATGGGGTTTCACCATGTTGGCCAGGATGGTCTCGATTCCCTGACCTCATGATCCGCCCGCCTTGACTTCTCAGAGCGCTGGGATTACAGGCAGGAGCCACCGCACCTGACCCAGAAATTTTACCTGTGGGTTGTCACAGAGGTTTCTCTCTCTCAGAAGCCCCACCTTGACTGCAACCTAAGGCAAGGAGGAACCTTGACTTTTTCCCCCCCAAGAAAGGACAAGACAGCTCAAAGAGTTTAGATGAAGTTTATGTGGTCTAGTTTTTGTTGTGTTTCTGTTACTTGGCTTTGTGATCCTTGATAAGTTACTTAAATTTTAGGAACCCCGGAATCATCATCTATAAAATTGCCATAAAACCAGTACTTGTCCTGCCTTCTTCCTTAGGTTTCATGAACTAAGTAAATAAATCATGAACTTGTTAGAAATGCAGAATCCCAGGCCACGCCCCAGAGGGACTGAATCATACACTCCAGGGGTGGTGCCGAGCAACCTGTTTCACAAGCCCTGCTGAGAATGTTGATGACACTCCGGTCTGGGAACCACCATTCTGAAGAGTTTTCTAACTTTTTTTTTTTAAACTGTGATTCACAGTAATGATGTTTTACGTCACACTTAGTACACATGTGCACACATCCACACATAACAAAACAAAAGGCTTATGAACATAGTATATCCAGTGCAATGTTTCATTTTATATTTTCCTTTTTTTTGTTTTTTTAAAATGCTGGTCTGGCAATCTTAAAAGGACATTATAGGACAATTGATGTGATTTGGGTATGGACTGTAGATTAGATTATGGTATCAGTGTTAAATTTCTTGATTTTAGAAATTGTACCATGAATATGCAGGATAATGCCCTCCTAGGAAAGACATATTGTGGTATTTAGGGGTGGAGGTGCACAGTATCTCCAGTCACACACACACACACACACACACACACACACACACACACACCCCAAATGAGTAAAGGGCATACAGAAGGTCCTTGTACTGTTTACAACTTTTCTGTGAGCTTGAAATGATATCAAATAAAAGGATACTAAAACATTGGTTTAGACTCACTAAGCTGATTTTGCTGTCTACAAATGAGAAAAATATGGCTACAATCTGCATGGCATATTTTAAAGTCAGGAATTATGTACTGTATTATTCCAGAGTATCCCCCCCCATACCCTTGTATGATGCCTGGTTGGTGGAGGATAGTCTGTACAATTCACTGACTCCTGGCACTATTAGTAATAATAATATATAATTCCTGCCACTGTTATTTCTCGTTTTTATTCTAGTCACCATTGTTACATCTGTTTCCTTGAAGCTTGTTGAAGATATATATACAACTTTATCGTTTGAAGCTATGGCCCAACTGAGAGAGTGTGAAGGGAGGTCGAGGGCAGGCCCTGGATTTGAACTGATGTAAATTTTAATGCAGGCTTGTCACCCTCCTGGCTCCGTGTTGCTGTGGGCAAGCATACATCTGTAACATGGGATTCACTTCTACCTTATAGGACTGTTAGAATTAAATGAGAAAAGGACATACGAGAGCCAGGCACAGGATGGAGCAGGTGTCGGGACTTAGCATTAGCCTACCTTCCCTTTGTTCAGCTCTGCAGAGAAAGTCAATCACTGCTGATTGATTAAGGCCTCAGGGAAAAAGTTAACAGCAAGATTCCAACTTTTCCATGTCCCTGAGGGGGAGAGGTATGTTATTTTATAACATTGGTGATAGGATTTGACCTATAAAAAATAAATTTGTGGAATATGGGTTCTTTTTTTTTTTTTTTGGTAAAAATGTGTGGAAAGGATCATAACTATGGTGTTTCCTCAGTTATTTTAACTATTTCCTAACTCTTGTGGTATTTTTTTTTTTTTTTTTTTTTG